GAAGTTAATGATGTTAATTTGATGTTTTTTTTGTGTTGTTTGTTTCACAAGATTGGAAAGTATAGATTTTGTGTTTTATTTTGCTTCAAAATATATATCCAAACGTGCTAAAAAACATCATTAAAAACTGTGAAATAGGCTTTTAATGATTGTTTTGCTGATGGATCGGGCAACCAATGGCTGGCGTGGTCTGATATTGCATCAGCCAATGGGGTTGATTGTCCCGCCCCTTTCACTACTGCTGTGATTCTACTCAGAACGTCAGACGCGGTTGAGAGCTAACAGCTGATCGTTGTTTTCATTAAGAGCCTGAAAGAGACGATAAAATCTGGACAAACGTTTGTTTGAGAGCAGCTGAGAGTCAGACACCGTCAGAGCGTTGGGCAGTTTTTTTTTTTTTTAATTACGGTGAACTTTTGGCCTGGAGAGCCCTGAGGCTACAAGACCCACTTCTGAATTTGGATGGCGAGCCCAGAGAACCCAGTGAACCCAGTGAACCCAGTGAACCCAGAGAACCCAGTGAACCCAGATAACCCAGAGAACCCAGTGAACCCAGAGAACCCAGTGAACCCAGAGAACCCAGAGAACCCAGAGAACCCAGTGAACCCAGTGAACCCAGAGAACCCAGAGAACCCAGAGAACCCAGAGAACCCAGAGAACCCAGTGAACCCAGAGAACCCAGAGAACCCAGAGAACCCAGTGAACCCAGAGAACCCAGAGAACCCAGAGAACCCAGTGAACCCAGAGAACCCAGAGAACCCAGAGAACCCAGTGAACCCAGTGAACCCAGAGAACCCAGTGAACCCAGTGAGATGGTAGATAGTGACCCAACTGGTCACTATCCTTGAAATACTGAGAGGATCGACTGACACATTGGAAGAGACTGTTATTTATTTTATTTTCTGTTTTAAACAAAAACGTGCTCTATTTTGTTATAATTGTAAATGTGGATCCTCAATTGTTTATTATTCAATTTTACTCTTTCTTGTGACACTTTGTGTTGTCCTTCACACCTCAGCTCCCGAGAATTCAGAGTCTTTTGATTCGGCTCAACGTCTTTAGATATACTTTCATAGCACTGGTGCTGGTCAGAGAAGTAAATGAAATTGGCTGCATTTTGCTATTATTAAGTGTATTTAAAGTAACTTGTAGGTTATTAGCATGTGAGTAACTGGTGAGCTAACATGGTGAGCTAGCATGGTGAGCTAACATGGTGAGCTAACATGGTGAGCTAGCATGGTGAGCTAACATGGTGAGCTAACATAGTGAGCTAACATGGTGAGCTAACATGGTGAGCTAGCATGGTGAGCTAGCATGGTGAGCTAACATGGTGAGCTAACATGGTGAGCTAGCATGGTGAGCTAACATGGTGAGCTAACATAGTGAGCTAACATGGTGAGCTAACATGTGAGCTAGCATGGTGAGCTAACATGGTGAGCTAACATAGTGAGCTAACATGGTGAGCTAGCATGGTGAGCTAACATGGTGAGCTAACATGGTGAGCTAGCATGGTGAGCTAACATGGTGAGCTAACATGGTGAGCTAACATGGTGAGCTAGCATGGTGAGCTAACATGGTGAGCTAGCATGGTGAGCTAGCATGGTGAGCTAACATAGTGAGCTAGCATGGTGAGCTAACATGGTGAGCTAACATGGTGAGCTAGCATGGTGAGCTAACATGGTGAGCTAGCATGGTGAGCTAACATGGTGAGCTAACATAGTGAGCTAACATGGTGAGCTAACATGGTGAGCTAACATGGTGAGCTAACATGGTGAGCTAACATAGTGAGCTAACATGGTGAGCTAACATGGTGAGCTAACATGGTGAGCTAACATGGTGAGCTAACATAGTGAGCTAACATGGTGAGCTAGCATGGTGAGCTAACATGGTGAGCTAACATGGTGAGCTAACATGGTGAGCTAACATGGTGAGCTAACATAGTGAGCTAACATGGTGAGCTAGCATGGTGAGCTAACATGGTGAGCTAACATGGTGAGCTAACATAGTGAGCTAACATGGTGAGCTAACTCTCTGTGCAGCCTGGCGCCAACAGGAAGCAGAGAGGAGCAGCTGTCGCTGATCAGCTGGAACATCGACGGTCTGGATGGAGACGAGCAGCCAGAGAGAGCCAGGAGCCTCTGCTCCTACCTCACAGAGTGAGCCCAGGCTCATTGTCAGGGTCAAGGGTCACCGCTGACGTGTTGCTAACGGCTCTCTCTCCACAGATACTCGGCCGATGTGGTGCTTCTGCAGGAAATGGTGCAGCCCTACATGCGCTTCATGCACAGACGTCTGGGAGACGCTTACGCCTTCGTACAAGGTCCTGCAGCCTGAAGGCCGACTGGGGGCTGTGTGTGTGTCACGGTGTGTGTGTCACGGTGTGTGTGTCAGTGTGTGTGTCACAGTGTGTGTCAGTGTGTGTGTGTCACAGTGTGTGTGTCAGTGTGTGTGTGTCACAGTGTTTGTGTCACAGTGTGTGTGTGTCACAGTGTTTGTGTCACAGTGTGTGTGTCACAGTGTGTGTGTCACAGTTGTGTGTGTGTGTGTCACAGTGTGTGTGTGTCACAGTGTGTGTGTCACAGTGTGTGTGTCACAGTGTGTGTGTGTGTCACAGTGTGTGTGTCAGTGTGTGTGTGTCACAGTGTGTGTGTCACAGTGTGTGTCACGTGTGTGTGTCACAGTGTGTGTGTGTCACAGTGTGTGTGTCACAGTGTGTGTGTCACAGTGTGTGTGTGTCACAGTGTGTGTGTGTGTCAGTGTGTGTGTCACAGTGTGTGTGTCACAGTGTGTGTGTGTCACAGTGTGTGTGTGTCACAGTGTGTGTGTGTCACAGTGTGTGTGTCACAGTATGTGTGTGTCACAGTGTGTGTGTGTCACAGTGTGTGTGTCACAGTGTGTGTGTCACAGTGTGTGTGTGTCACAGTGTGTGTGTGTCACAGTGTGTGTCAGTGTGTGTGTGTCACAGTGTGTGTGTGTCAGTGTGTGTGTCACAGTGTGTGTGTGTCACAGTGTGTGTGTGTCACAGTGTGTGTGTCAGTGTGTGTGTGTCACAGTGTGTGTGTCAGTGTGTGTGTGTCACAGTGTGTGTGTGTCACAGTGTGTGTGTCAGTGTGTGTGTCACAGTGTGTGTGTGTCACAGTGTGTGTGTGTCACAGTGTGTGTGTCACAGTGTGTGTGTGTCACAGTGTGTGTGTCACAGTATGTGTGTGTCACAGTGTGTGTGTGTCACGGTGTGTGTGTCACGGTGTGTGTGTCACAGTGTGTGTGTCACAGTGTGTGTGTGTGTCACAGTGTGTGTGTCAGTGTGTGTGTGTCACAGTGTGTGTGTCAGTGTGTGTGTGTCACAGTGTGTGTGTCACAGTGTGTGTGTCAGTGTGTGTGTGTCACAGTGTGTGTGTGTCAGTGTGTGTGTCACAGTGTGTGTGTGTCACAGTGTGTGTGTCACAGTGTGTGTGTCACAGTGTGTGTGTCAGTGTGTGTGTCACAGTGTGTGTGTCACGGTGTCTCCTCCTCCCAGGTGGGCAGGCCGGTTACTTCACCATGATGCTGCTGAGGAAGTGCCGCCTCCAGCTGCTGCATCACCACATCGTCTCCTTCCCAACGTCCCACATGATGAGGAACCTGCTGGTTGCTGAGGTTCCTGCTCATCCACAAACTGCCACGTCCTGCTGCCCAGGCTTTTATTGTGAAAATCTGCTGTGTCGGGCCAGGTGGAGTTCGGAGGCCAGAAGCTGAGTCTGATGACGTCCCACTTTGAGAGCTGCAAGGCCAACTCTGCAGAGAGGATGAGGCAGCTGAGGCTGGTGATGAAGGCGATGAGCCGGGCTCCGGATGACCAGACGGTTCTGTTTGGAGGGGACACCAACCTGAGGGACCACGAGGTCCGATTCCTCAGCCCTCCTCCTAGGGGGCGCCAGCGCGGCCGCTCTGGTTTTCTGTGTAAATGTCTAAAGTCGACAGGAAGTTTCGAAATATTCCTGGGTAGTTTATGATCATTGTTGACAATACAGAGACATAACTAGTCTGAAAAATGACAAACAATTCAAATTAGTGGACCCAGTATAAAAACCAGTGAATTTAAAACAACCATTAAAAACATTTTGTGTTTTACATACGATGGTTTTCAGAGGTTTTAATTTTAATTTCAGTATTGTCAACAATGAGCACATCTATTAATTTAATAATAGTTAATAACAGAACAGCTGGAGGGGTCAGAACAGGGGTCAGGGTTAGGCTCAGGATGAAGCCCAGGCTTGGTTTGCAGGTGTACTCAACCTTCTCCCTGGCGTTCCCTGCAGGTTGCCGCCGTGGGGCTTCCCAGGAACGTCGTGGACCTGTGGGAGGAGCTGGGAGAGCCGGAGAAGTGCCGCTACACCTGGGACACCCAGGCAAACACCAACAAAGAAATACCGTTCAAGTGCCGGTTCCGGTTCGACCGGGTGTACCTCCGGCAGGCGCGTGTGGACGGCGCCCCCCCTGCTGGAGCCCCGCAGCATGGCGCTGATCGGCCTGGAGAAGCTCCGGTGTGGCCTGTTCACCAGCGACCACTGGGGGATCTACTCCACCTTCTCTGTGACGCACACATGAAACGCTTTCAGTTGTTCCTTTTCATTTTCAAAATGGATTATTGTGACATCAGAATGAAACGCTGAAGAGGAAAGGGTTTGCTAACTGGAGCCTCCTTTCCTGTCGGTTCTGGTCATCCAGAGTTTTGTCATTTAAGTTGAGTGGAAGAAAGAAGTGTGATAGAAATGGGTGCACAAGCAATAGGGAATGTCATGGCCAGAACATAAATTCATGTATTAACAAGACATTTTCATTAGTTCAATAGACAGCACATAAACTCTGTAACCAACATTCCAGAATTGACCAAAAAATATAATTGAATTCTGTGTGTAGTGGATTTATATTATCTACAATTTTAACCAAATTATTCAAATAAATTGTCTATGAAGTGATGTTCTGATTACAGAGCTGTACTAGCAGAACAAAGCTTTTAAAATGTGCACTGCTCCTTTAAGAGATCAAAGCCACGGTTTTATATCCTTGGAGATGTTTTCTATACTTCCGGGTAGCATCCATTCAAACTTCATGTTTTATTTCATTTTTACTGCTGGTAGAAAAATGACTTGTACTTGAAAAGTGTTCCTCGGAGTCACCGGCAGGTGGCAGCAGCGCCTCCTCTCAGCTGCCAGGAAGTCTGAACCAGACTCGGCTTTTCTCCCAGTAAACCGGATCGTTTCCCAGTTTTCCTCCTGTTAACAGAGTCGAAAGGCGGCGAGAAGCGGGTACAGCTCACCGGGATGGAAGAGTATCAGAACGGCAGCGAGGTTGGTGTCTGAGCCGGGAGTGTGCTTTGGTTTGCGGATGTTAGAAGGGAGGAGTTAGCTAGAAGCTAACCGGCTAGCTGGAAGCTAACCGGCTATGTTAGCAGCTGCAGGGAGATGTTAGCACTGGTTCCCAGCTGCCGGTTCCCTGGTTCCCAGCTGCCGGTTCCCTGGTTCCCAGCTGCCGGTTCCCTGGTTCCCAGCTGCCGGTTCCCTGGTTCCCAGCTGCCGGTTCCCTGGTTCCCAGCTGCCGGTTCCCTGCTGATGTTCTGTCGTGTTTTTCAGGGTTCATTCAACTCGGAGGAGGCGGAGAACGTCGTCAAAGAGGTAAAAAAAAACCCCTTTTTTCTGTTAGTCTGATTAGAAACGGCCTCGGAAATTTATTGAACAATTTTATCAACTTTTCATGCGGTTAATGTTTTGAGTTGACGTCTAAAAATAAACACAATAAAGATATGAAACAGTTTAAAAGCTGCTGTTTGTGGAATGAATATGATTTAATCTCAGCATTTGAACTTTTTCTGATTTATTTTGATGAGCCTTTAAATAATCTCCAATATTTTGGCTTTTTCACTTTTTTTTGCTGCATTCGTGTTTTTAGTTGATTTAAGGTTTAAGTTGTGAATCTGTTTTTAAAGTTGAATTAAATTAGAGATCTTTTTTTAAGGTGTTTCTTTCTGCTTTTATACTTTGTATGCCAAATTTAACAGGAATATTTTCTATTTCTAACATTTTTCATTTTATAGGGAACTAATTTTAAACTTTGAACAATGAAAACTTTAATCAGCCCAACACAGTTCAGATGTTACTGAAGGTTATTAGAGTTGAGATTGAAAAGCCAAGTGATTCATTTCTGCTTCCTGGTTTTCATGAAATGGCTCTTCTTTAATTTTTCTTGAAAACTAAAGCTTTCTGCTGGTGTTCATGTGTTGAACACCCTGAGCTCCTGTTGGGCTGTAGCAGCAGAAATCAGCAGCTGGGATCAGTAACAAACGGTGTATTTTTAGCGTTTCCCTGGCGAGGCGCCGCGCCGCTGACTAACTCATGACTGATGGCGGTGTGTTTGCGTCAGGGCATCGAGAGCGTCCTGGAGGAGACGACTACAGCCAGACTCATGTGAACAAATGGACGGCCGCCGTGGTGGAGCGCTGCCTCACGCAGCTCGTCAAGCTCAACAAGCCCTACAAATACATCGGTACGCAGCGGACCAGTCAAAGCCCGCAACACCCAGCCTCTGTTCTCGCTGCTAAACTGGCTGTCGCTGTTCAGATTGGCACAAATTCAGCTACCAAACTATGGGTGGGAAAACCCAGCATGCCTTCGCTGATCAATATTGCCAACAATAACACACTTGAATAAATTCCTCATTTCATCATCAGGCCTCATTTCAGTGATTCATTGACAGGAACCTGCAGTTTGCTGACTTCAGTCTGAATGAGCCTGGTTCTGTTCATGACGGTCTGATGGTTTTCAGCGCCTGAAGATAAAATAAGTGAGAACGAATTGTTTGTGCACAGTGACGTGTTCGGTGATGCAGAAGACCGGCGCCGGCCTCCACACAGCCAACTCCTGCTACTGGGACACCAGTATGGACGGTGAGCTGGTCCTTCTGGAAAACCTCCGTGTGTCTGATGGCGGATCAAAGTTCATCCCATAATAGTCTGACTGTTGTCCCGCAGGCAGCTGCACCGTGCGGTGGGAGAACCGCACCATGTACTGCGTGGTGAGCGTGTTCGCCGTCTGCATCACCTAGGAGCAGCGGGGCTGCTGGCTGCCGGCAGGGGGCGGCAGAGAGCTTCAGGTTTAAACTGCTGCAGCGCTGCTGGCTGCCGGCAGGGGGCGGCAGAGAGCTTCAGGTTTAAACTGCTGCAGCGCTGCTGGCTGCCGGCAGGGGGCGGCAGAGAGCTTCAGGTTTAAACTGCTGCTGGCTGCCGGCAGGGGGCGGCAGAGGACGGTTTTGTATCAGAGCTGCTGCACAATAAACAGTTTCTGGACCAAACTTGATGGTTTATGTTGAATCTTTTTATTCGTTTCGGTGTGACGGTTGGTGTCTAAACGTTTCCATAGCAACGCCTCATCCCGTTGGGGTCACATGACCACTTCACTGGATGCCTGTTTATTTTAGGATCCGTTTTTAAATTCTTATGTTTGTTTTTAAATCGCTGCACAATCTAACCCCGGCTTACCTCACTGAGCTTCTTCACCTCTACATACCTGATGGATCTCAGGTCTGCAGATCAGTTGCTCCTGGAGGAGCTCAGAGGGGACGCTCTGTCCCTCAGAGCGTCTAGAGGGGACGCTCTGAGGGGACAGAGCTTTCTCTGTCGGGTCCTAAGTTATGGATGACCTGCAGGTCAGAGGTCCCTTCACTGTCCACTTTTAAAGCTCGTCTTAAAACCCTTTTATTTCACTTGGCCTTCAACTCCAGTGAGATCTAGTTTCATATTGTTTGTTTGTTTTAAACTGTATTTGTTTTGATCTATTTTCTGTGCAGCACTTTGTTTCTGCTGTGGTTGTTTCAAAGTGCTTTATAAATAAAGTTGGTATTGATATTTCTCTGATTTATTGATCAGTTAGGATCCACTCTGAGCTCAGCATCTTTCCTTTCTGGTTCTGAAGCAAAATTTATTTGCATCTCGACTTTCAGGCATGATGCTGCCACCGCCATGCTTCACTCTTTATGGGTATTTATGAATATTGTAAATATTTATACTAAATAAATATTTAATGTAATTATATAATGAACAAATGTTTAAATGTCCATCAGAGGAACTGCACAAAGCTTCAGAAATCAATCATTTTAATGTTTAAAGTTTGCAGAAATTCATCTTTGGAATTTGAACAGAAACCAGGAAATGAAGTCAAACATCTGAGAAACGTGAAACAATTTGGATTTTGATTGATCTGCAGTTTGAGCACAAAGTATCTACAATAATTAATAAGCAAAAAAAGTTATTTCCATTATTTTTCAGGCTTGTTTAAATGTTTCACAAAGAGCTGCTGCTGGGTCACAAGCTTTTCAGAATAAAAGCCTCTCCTGTGTTTGCAGGTGCAGCCGTCACGTCTCGGGCTTTGTTGCCACCTGAACGTCACCTTAGAGGAAGAAATTTGGAAACGACCCTAAAAGTCAAGCAGCAGAGGAAGAAGAAGCAGCTGGTGGCTGTTGCAGCAACGTGGCTGTTGCAGCAACGTGGCTGTTGCAGCAACATGGCTGTTGCAGCAACGTGGCTGTTGCAGCAACGTGGCTGTTGCAGCAACGTGGCTGTTGCAGCAACGTGTTTGCGCCATGCAGCGGTCAGAAGTTCTCCTTGTTGAAGATGAACTTGACGTCGGCCTCGGAGTGAGACAGGCACTGCTTCTCCAGAGACTTGCCCAGCTGAGGCGGGCCGCACAGGAACACGCCCACCTTGGACCTGCCGAGCAGAACCAGAACCGGAGTTAGAGGACTGAACCGATGAGCCGCAACCTTTCCGGGTGCCGGCCTCACTTGGGATGCTTGGCAGCGATGTTGGTGAACTCGTTGTCCCAGTTGGGCTTTCCGTACAGCGTCTTCTGCTTGAGCCCGGTGATCGGGTCGTTCTCCGCCTCGTGGTGGACCCGGAAATGAGCCGCCTGGTTCCAGAGCAAACATAACGCTTTCATTGCTAAAGGCTGACACAAACGGGAGCTAAGAGGCGGCCGTGATGTTCTGGCCGGTCCGGTACCTCCGTCTCCTTCCAGCGCGTCAGGTAGATGTTGTAGCTCAGGAAGTCGGCCATGTCTTTGTCCGCCATCTGGCGCTCCAGGGACTGCAGGAGGTCAGCGAACCACTCAAAGGCCTGGGTCTCCGGACACAACCAGTAGAAGTAGATCTGCAACAGAACCGCCCGTCAGACAAGGTTCTGGTCGGGTTTTACTCCAGAACCCTCTGCCACGCTACGCGTTAACCGCAGAACAATGAAAGCATCTGGGATGGAAAATCTGGTTGAATTTGACAGTTTTACCAAAAATGAACAACTTAAGGGTTTTGGGGGAGGGGCTAGTTTTATCCCCGCCCCCAAAACCACATGCTGCTGTGATTGGCTGGCTCTTATGCTCTGACTGGGACCCAACATAAATCCAGGCCTCATTTCTAGAATAATTCAACTTTTTTCCCTGACTTTTTCCAGAAGATATTAATAAAAGCCGATTTGGTCTCTTGTAGATCCAAGATGGTGACATTTTCTGAAAGCTGGTATTTTCCCATCTGAACCGACGTGTCCCACCTTCTTGGTGAAGACGTCCTGGTTGTTCTGGATGTGTTTGTACCACACAGACTTGAGGATGGAGGCAAAGGGCGTCACGCCGATTCCCGCCCCCACCAGCATCACCACCTCGTAGCGGAACACGTCTTCGCTGGCGGTGCCGAACGGCCCGTCGATGGCCATCCTGAGGACCGACACAAACACAGGCCGGCCTGCCGTCACTGACACACAGCAATGTTGGAACCAGAAGTTTAAAGGGCAAAAAGCCAAAGAGATGTACATGTTGGAGTGGAAGCTGAGAAACGTCCCGCCTCTTTCTAAAACACGCTTTAAATCCGCAGCCCTAACCCACTTCATCGATGTCCGGTTGGGACCAAAAGCAGGTAAATATATAGAGCTTTATTGCTGTCTCTTTAAGACGCGTCCACTAACAGCAGCTTTCTGTGATTAGTCAGTGTCTGGAAGTGTTTGAACATCAAGTTTGATGCTTTGTAACATAATTTCTGGATAAATGTGGAAGCAGAAGTGATGGTTGATGGGTTGATCTGCCCTGCAGGCGGTTTGGATCCAGCAGGTCTGAATAGCAGCTCTATTCTCTGTTTCATAGCGTAACTGCAGCATTTGCAAGGTTTCTATGGCTGCCGGCTTATTGTCAAACACACAATAAGCCTCCCGCAGCGTCCAGCGCAGCGTCTAGCGCTGCTTTCAGCGGCGCCAGAGGCTGCGGGTGAACCAGGCTCGTTTTCACAGCGCCGTACTTTGGGAGCTTCCAGGCCTCCTGCTGCTCCGGCTTGTCCCCGCCGCAGGCCTCGTACAGCGCCCGGGTCCAGTCCCCCACGATCCGGATGTGGGCGCTGAAGTAGTCCTCCTCCGGGGCGGAGGTCAGGGTGAAGGGGTGCCACTCCAGCCTGGAGACAGACGGACACTGGATGAAGACGTACTGGCCCACCTCCATGCTGAAGCCTTTCTTCTTCATCTGCAGCTCCAGCGTCTTGGAGGGGTGCATCACCACCTGGGGGCAGGAACAGGGTCAGGTCGAGGGTCACGGTCACGGTTGAGTAGAGACTTTGCACAGTCACCTTGGTGATGACCACTTTCTGATGGGACCGGTAGATGCGAACCAGCCGCTCACACACGTACAGGATCATGGGGCCCACAACCCACTTCCACGTCTGAGGAGAGCAAAACATTTGAGGAGAGAATCAGACGGAGAGGATCTGACGGGACGGCGGCTCGGCCCGGCCCGGCCCGGCCCGGCTCGGCCCGGCCCGGCTCGGCCCGGCTCGGCCCGGCCCGGCTCGGCTCACCCCGGGCGGGTTCCCTGCAAACTCGGGGACGGCGCAGCCCGACTCGTTTTTGCCCCAGTCTTGGAAGTGGTCGGCGCAGGTTTTGGGGTCGTTGGTCTGCAGGCTGGGCGGAGTCTGTCCTCGCACGATTCGCCTGCAGCCACAGACAAACGGAACCATTAGAACATTGCGGCTGAAGCCGGCAGAACGACGGCGAAGCTGACACTCTCCTTTAGTTGAGCTTTAGTCTAAAACATTCAAAACATTTCGGCTGAAATGTGACCAAGAAGCTTCAGCTCTGAACCCTAAACCTCAGGTGCTGATGCTCTTCTGGCTCAGTCCAGGTACTGGCAGAACCTGCTGACCAGCTGATGGTGGTTTGCTAGGGTTCAAAGGTCAGACTGCTTTTCCACCTGGAGTCTGAGATCCAATCGTCCATCTGGACCCAACTGGTCCAGGTTCTATGAACGTCGGGTTTTACTTCAGATCGTCCTGTTTGTGTCGTTGCTTCGGTTTAAGTCTAGAAAGTCTGGACACGTTGATGACCTTTGACCCGGATGTGTTTCTGATCTTACCCGTAGCCGTGGAACACCAGGCCGATGAAGAAGATGATGAAGAGGTGGTGCGTGTACCAGAACACCTCAAAGTACGACCTCCGGATGACCTCCATGGACGACGTGACGATGAGGATGAGAGCCAACGTGATGGCGACACCCGTCAACCCGGCGATGGTGGTGAACATGACGATGGTGGGGCTCTGCACCAAGCACAGGTACTGGGGTTACTGGGGTTACTGGGAGGTACTGGGAGGTACTGGTAATTGTGGTGTTTGATCTCAAAGTGTGGTCAGCCTGCATCTTCCTCTGTAAATCTTTGGCTTGTTGACCAACTTCCCTCTTTTACCAAACGGCGTTTTGACAGAATGTTGTTCCTTAAACTGCTGAGATTAAGAAAGGCAGAAAAAAATGATGAACCATGAAGGTTAACTGACGAGACGCGAAGCAGAGACCCAGAGATGTTGTTATTATTGTTATTATTATTATTGTTATTATTGTTATTATTGTTATTATTGTTATTGTTATTATTGTTATTATTGTTATTGTTGTTATTATTGTTATTATTGTTATTATTATTATTGTTGTTATTATTATTGTTATTATTGTTATTATTGTTATTATTATTGTTATTATTGTTATTATTATTATTGTTATTATTGTTATTATTATTATTGTTATTATTGTTATTGTTGTTATTATTATTGTTATTATTGTTATTATTATTATTGTTATTATTGTTATTATTATTGTTGTTATTATTGTTATTGTTGTTATTATTATTGTTATTATTGTTATTATTGTTATTATTATTGTTATTATTGTTTATTATTATTGTTATTATTATTATTGTTTTATTGTTATTATTATTATTGTTATTGTTATTATTGTTGTTATTGTTATTATTATTATTGTTATTATTGTTATTATTATTATTATTATTATTGTTATTATTGTTATTATTGTTATTATTATTATTGTTATTATTATTATTGTTATCATTGTTATTATTGTTATTGTTATTATTGTTATTATTATTATTATTATTGTTATCATTGTTATTATTGTTATTATTATTATTATTATTGTTATTGTTATTATTGTTATTGTTATTATTATTATTGTTATTATTGTTATTATTATTATTATTGTTATTATTGTTATTATTGTTATTATTATTATTGTTATTATTGTTATTATTGTTGTTATTGTTATTATTGTTATTATTATTATTATTGTTATTATTATTATTATTATTGTTATTATTGTTATTATTATTATATTATTGTTATTATTGTTATTGTTATTATTGTTATTATTGTTATTATTGTTATTATTATTATTGTTATTATTGTTATTATTATTATTGTTATTATTATTATTATTATTGTTATTATTGTTATTATTGTTATTGTTATTATTGTTATTGTTATTATTATTATTATTATTATTGTTATTATTGTTATTATTGTTATTATTATTATTGTTA